TATAGAAAATATAATAGTGATATAAACAGAGGAATGGAAGCAATAGAAAGTACGAACAAGATAAAGAGAAAAGAAAAAAAAGACGAGGTGGAAGGAAAAGAAAAAAGGGTGAAGAGAAAGAAAGGGTAAGAAATCATCATGGGAAGCAGGAGAAAGAAACAAAGAAAGAAGGTTAGTATAGAAATAAATAAGAAAAGAAATATACAAACAAACATATACATACACGCACACGCACACATATACATATACACGTATATACATATATATAATATATATATATATAGATATATATAGAGAGAGAGAGGAGAGAGTGAGAAGAGAGAGAGTGAGAGAGAAAAAGAGGGAAAGAGAAAGATGGTAAAAGAAAGAGAAAATAGTGACAAAATGGCGAAAACACGATCATAAATAAAACTTAAAGACGCAAACGAAGAAGAAAGATCGGTATTTAGATATCATCTCACTTGAATGATGTATGGCACAAGGACATTGGTATGCGTATGTTGGGATAAGAACACGTTGTCCAGTTTCCTGCAGACGGTCTTCCTGGGACTGGAAACATGTTTATGGAGTCCCTTACTCTCTGTAGCTAACGACTAAACAGTATAAAGAAAATAGATCGAAAAATTAAAAATTATTATAAAGATGGTAAAAAGAATAGGTTTACAGAAAGGACAGATAGAATGAAATTTGGGAGGTGCACGATTACGAAACTCGAAGGAATGCAGTGTAGGCTGTAGAGTGCGTGGACTGATGGGTTGCGTGGCACCAACGTGAAATTAGAATGTCATTTTAAGCAATGTTTGTTGGATGATTATGTTATTGCAAATGTAATGCCAGTCTCGACTCAGAACGACAGGCGCATGATTCATGAGGGAATTTTATAGTTTTGAAAAATTGTTTCCTCTTTTAAAAAGTTTATTTTGAAAGCATAAGTGAAATATAATCTACTTCAGTCATTGCCTTCCTTCCTATCTATCTATCTATCTATCTATCTATCTATCTATCTATCTATCACAGTCTCCTCCCATCTATCTATCTATCTATCTATCTATCACAGTCTCCTCCCATCTATCTATCTATCTATCTATCTATCTATCTATCTATCTATCTATCTATTATAGTCTCTTCCTAATTATCTATCTATCTAACACAGTCTCGTCCCATCTATCTATCTATCTATCTATCTATCTATCTATCTATCTATATATATATATATATATATATATATATATATATATATATATATAAGTGATAGAAGTAAAGGAGGATTTGAGATAACTATAATTAATTCATCGAGTCTAGACGAAACCTCAACAGAATGCAGAAAGCACTGGACGGGCGTTTCGATGTATTTCGATAAATTAGAAGTTATATATTATATATATATATATATATATATATATATATATATATATATATATATATATATATATTATAATAAACAGAAAAGAACAGTAACATATATAATCCGGTGTTCTTATGAATATTTTTTTTTTTTTACAAAACAATGCTCAATGCAAATCTACAGAGCACTGTTTTGTAAAAATAAAAATATTAAACCTGTGTAGGATGGAACCATATTTTTAAATAATAAATTTATTATATATATATATATATATATATATATATATATATATATATATATATATATATATATCAGTCGTTTTCTATCTATCAAGTTAGTGCAAAAGTGATGCTCGATTTTTGTGAAGAATGTTTTAGATAGTATTTATGAATTTTGTGCTTCTCGTTACAATTAAGTAATGCCACAATAAGTAATTTATACTCTTCCCTTTCAGATTTTAAAAAATATTTTTCGTAATCTTCCGCAGTATTCACATCTGCGTTCTTCCCATCTAAACATCAAATTCTACATATCTTATTGTATAAATTTCATAAAGGTGTCAATGCAAGTGCAGCAGCCAAGTCGATTCAGACCGCTTTTGGTGAAGATGCAGTGGATGTAAGTAGTTGCAGGAGGTGGTTTTGCCGTTTCCGAAGTCGGTATTTCAGTTTGAAGGACGATCAAAAAGAGGGTCGTCTACAAAAACTTGATTCGGAAAAGTTGGAATCTGTTGTCACAGACAACCGTACCATTAGCTCTAGGGAATTTACAGAATAATTTAACTTAGTGTTGTGAGACCTTAACATACCTACAACATGGACTCTTCCAGGACTATATAAAGTATGCGATATAACACTCTAGGAGAAGAGGAGGAAAGAGAGAGAGAGAGAGAGTATTCTAATACCGTAGTATCAGCCGCGTACGACTACCAATATTGGATACTAGCACATAGTAAGCTCTGCTTACACTTACACTATCTTTGTAACCTTTTTGTTTAATACATCTTTCTTACCTCTAATCCGTGTTCCGTGTTTTCCTTCCGTGGTCCCAACTTTGGGTCCACATCGCTTAGACAATACAACCGTGCTACGACAATTAAAAAGGATCGGAAAGGTTTCAGTCGTTGGTAAATAGGTCCCACACGAACTGTCTCCAGAGAATCTACAACAGCGTGTTGCTTGTTGTGAATCATTGTTTTCATGACAACTTCAGGCACCATTGTTAAGTTGGCTTGTTACAGGTGATGAGGAGTGGATACTTTACCATAGCGTTAAATGCCGAGGAGGATAATCAGTTCAACAAGTAAGAAGAGGACTTCATCTAAAGTAGATAATGTTGAATGTATAGTAGTATATTGAAGGAATTGTCCATTACGAAGTGTTTAAAAACAATCAAACAATTGCAACTAATCTGTACTGAGATCAACTTCCTCATTTGAGAACAGCTTTGAAGCAAAGCGAAGTTCCTTAGTGAAAAAAAAGTGTGTCATCATCCATCACAATAATGCACGTCATGACACAGCTCGGCTGACTAAAAATCTTTTGGGAGAGCTTGATTGAGAAATATTACTTCATGCACCCTATACTCCTGAACTTGCACCTGAATATCACTTGTTTTGGGGACTAGGGAATCATTTGGATGGTCTTAAGTTAACGTCAAGAGAAGAGGCTGAAAATGAGTTAGATTCCTATTTTGCTTCGAAACCTCAAGAATTTTACAGGCGTGGCATTTATAAGTTTGTTGACAGATGGAATGATTGTTCTAGAAAGGAAAGAAGCTTATGTTAACGAATAAACATTTTCATAATGACGGGATTTTCCATTTTTAATATAGACATTAAATCAGACATTACTTTTGCACCAAATCTATCTATCACAATCTGTTCTTATCTATCTAGCTAGCTATCAAAATCTATTCATATATATATTCATATATATATATATATAGAGAGAGAGACATTAGAGAGAGAGAAGAGAGAGAGATATATGTATAAAGGTAACAGACAATAAGAAAACTGTATCACAGTGTAACCCGGATATAAGAGACCCGGATATATGAGAAACCCGGATATAAGAGAGCTTTTCCCTGGTCCCAAATTAGAGCCTGTGTTAATGTATATAAAATAGACTAAACACGGATATAAGAGAAACCCGGATATAAGAGACTTATTCTCCGGTCCCGACAACTCTCTTACATCCGGGTTACACTGTGTTAGTATTATTATTTTTCAAAATTGTCTCGTACGAATATTTAAATAAAGATTCGTTTAGAGTGACCTCTCGAACCAATGTACAATCACTTCCATCAAGAAAATGAGTGATAAATTCTTGGCTCATATATATATATATATATATATATATATATTAAGAAATGGACAAAGTCCGACAATTTATTTATTAAAGACATTTTTATGTTTAACGTTCTTTTTTATAGATACAAGTATTTAAGTAAATGCTCTGTTTATAATAAACAGTAATAAATAACATTTACCGGCCTGAATGTCCAAGAAATTTTCATAGAAAATATTCGTCCTTTGACAATACTTGTATCTATAAAAAAGAACGTTAAACATAAAAATGCCTTTAATATATATATATATATATATATATATATATATATATATATATATATATATATCATTCGGATACAGTACTGTTTTGCATCTCCTCAGTGCAACTAGACATCCTAATACTTCAAGCCAGGACCGAAACCCGACTAATCAGCATTCAGCAGAGAGAAACAGCTAATTCTAACGTATTGTTTTTACGAATGTAAACAAACGCCAATCAGTCAGAGGACTCCCATTCATTTTACTGTGTGAGTTTATATATATATATATATATATATATATATATATGTGTGTGTGTGTGTGTGTGTGTGTGTGTGTATTTTAAGGCATTTTTATGTTTATACATTCTTTTTATAGATACAAATATTCAAGTAAATGCTCTGTTTATAATAAACAGTATTAAACAACATTTACCTGCCTGAATGTCCGAGAATTTTTCACAGAAAATATTCGATCTCGGACAGGATTCGAAACTGTATCCTATACGGAATCGTCATTTAGCTTGACGTGCCTTTACCGACTTGGCCACAGAGGAGGCATTCGGTTAGCAAGGTCGAATACAGTAAATTCGACCTTGCTAACCGAACGCTCCTCTGTGGTCAAATCGGTTAAAGAATTATGTTGTTAATTTCAAAGGTAGATTAGAAAATACCCCTGCGCATTTAGAAGATTATCTCAAAACGCAAATATGCTATATCAAATGCATAATTATCCTAAAAGCATAAAGATTTTATTACTTCCATAAAATCCCTTCTCATTAACTTATTCTCCAAAAATATGGGAACTGGCAGTTTTGTGTGTACATTTTGTTAGTTAACAGAAAATCAGATGAAACTAGCTTCATGGCAATCTTTGAGTTTAATAATGAGCGAAATCTCTGCCCCTCTAGGGATTTTTCTTTAATCATTTCACCCCATGCAAGGCAGTAAAGCCACAATGACACAGTGAGTTACTGAGTGTGAAAGAATAAGAAAAATAAAATGAAAACATTATGAAGTAGCGAGAATAATAGACGAGTAATCAAGAAGACAGTAGATAACGATTGACGTTACATTCAAATTTTCGAAGATCAAAGCTGACTGGAAA